CGCCCTGCCTGTGCCCCCAGCCCCGCCTGTGCCTCGGGGTGGGCTGCTGTAGCGCGTTAGTCAGTGCTCAGAGAGAGTTTGTCTCTTTGTGGTGGGGTCAGCTTAACAGAGCTTGGTGTCGGAAGCGGTGGATTGCTCCTAAAAGCTTTGTTAGAGCAGCTCTGAGCTCCAGCCCTGCCAGTGTGCCCTCGGTGTGGGAGCTTGACTTGATTGAATCTGGTGAAGAGGAACTGGAAGGGGGCCTAAACTGTCTTTGGCACCAAGTGAAGTATTTGTTGAGTGTCGGTCGGTGTTGGCCACGGTTCCCAGCGCTTGGTGGTGAGGTCACGGCAGCCGAGATGCAGCAGGGAGGCTGGGGGGCTGGTGGGCAGTGGCTCACACAGTGAAACCCAGGCAAGCGGGGAAGTGCATTGTTGAGTTTAGCAACAGAAACAGGGCAATCGCTAACACCGATGATAACCTGGATATGTCTGGTAGCCAGACTAAGGGAAATAGCAAGTTCACCATGATGTTAACTCACCAGAACAGTGAAAGATATAAAAGGTACTTCTTGCTTTTATGCTTTGTAAGGTTTTTGCTGATTTTTGTCAGGACATACGGATGATTCTAGTGAGCCAAGCCTCATCTCTTCACGTAAAGCATGCCTCAAGCCTTTGTCACAAGGAAGCTTTTCCTTCCCTGAGTAGAGGCACAAACCATTTGCTTAGTGAGTCATGTAACTACAGTCTATGGCAGCTACAGAAGCTGTTAATGTTGACTGGTGAGTTAATATGGATGAAAAGCTAGACATGAGCCGGCAATGTGTGCTGGCAGCCCAGAAGGCCAACTGTACTCTGGGCTGCATCAGGAGAAGCGTGGCCAGCAGGTCGAGGGAGGTGATTCTGCCCCTCTCCTCTGCTCTGGTGAGACCTCACCTGGAGTACTGCGTCCAGCTCTGGAGCCCTCAGCACAAGAAGGACATGGACCTGTTGGAGCGGGTCCAGAGGAGGGCTACAAAAATGATCCGAGGGCTGGAGCACCTCTCCTATGAGGACAGGCTGAGAGAGTTGGGCTTGTTCAGTCTGGAGAAAAGAAGGCTACGGGGAGACCTGATTGCGGCCTTCCAGTACCTAAAGGGGGCCTATAGGAAAGATGGGGAACGTCTTTTTAGTAGGGCCAGCTGTGTTAGGACAAGGGGAAATGGTTTTAAACTAGAACAGGGTAGGTTCAGGCTAGAGGTAAGGAAGAAATTTTTTACAATGAGGGTGGTAAAACACTGGAACAGGTTGCCCAGAGAGGTAGTGGAGGCCCCATCCCTGGGAACATTTAAGGCCAGGTTGGATGGGGCTCTGAGCAACCTGATCTAGTTAGCAGTGTCCCTGCTCACTGCAGGGGGGTTGGACTAGATGACCACTAGTGGTCCCTTCCAACCCTAAACATTCTATGATTCTATGATTCTATGATTCTATGATTCTATGATTCTATGATTCTATAATAAAGTTGTAGTACAGATTAGTTTTGGAGTCGGGTAATTTGTTTTAAATGGAAATGGAACATGAGAAATAAGTGGGTCGTACATTTACTGAGCCATTCTTCAGGCTGCTAGTAATGTTATCCCTACCTTGACAGAAAGATGTAAAGGCTACAGAGTGAAGGATGTGACAGGATGGTTTTTAGAGGTAAGTCTTCAGAGTAGCTCAATGGTAGAAGGTGACCTGTAAGGAAAAAAAAAAAAGTACTCAGGATGAAGTCAGTTCTTCATATGACCCTGAGTTTTTAATGCTTTTGTATAAATCTGTGGGGTATGTGGTTTTGTATTAGTACCGATCTTCCTGTGGAAAAGAATCTCTTTTTTATCTGCAAGACAACATTATATTTCTCATAGTAATTGTAGATATGAGTTGCTTTAAGCAGTACCTACATATCGCTGATGGCATACCTCAACTCTAATGGTGAAAGCTATCCCCCTATAATACTTTGCCCACAATAACTCTGTGGGTTTCACCAGGGCCTGTTCAAACTCGATGTTGGCTGTTCCTCCTTATGGCAGTTAGGTTCCAGAGCTACCACTGGAAAGCAGGCTGTGGAGTTGCCAGTGGAAGGCCCTCAGCCGTACAAAAGGCTGAAGCATCCAAGGCACTGTGCAGTGCTCAATTCTATTTGATGAGTGACTGTCTGCAAGAAACAAGTACAGCAATGAGTGAAAAGGTATAAAGAACTAGCTGGGGAGAGCCTTTTAGCAGAAAGTCCATTACAATAATACTGTGCCAAGAGGAACTGTCAGGACAACGGTTTGCTGTGAATTCCCAAAGTGGAATATACTCTGCATTGGGTACTGCTGTTCTGAGAAAAGAAAAGCGTGTCTAATTGCTTTAGCCATATCATTTAGTGAAATAGCTATATCCATCTTGGTGAAAATTGTGCTAAAGTACATTTAAGCTTTCATGGCAAAACAGTCTTAGCCAGTCTTAACCGAATAACTAGAAATTCGAGTTTGTTTTGAACTGCTGCACAAGCACCTGATGGAGGAATTATACGAGGCATAGTAAGCTGTAAGCCGTATTTCATTTTTGACATAGACCAGACTTGAAGCCGAAGTGCTTTAACCTAGTGGAGCGCTTCCCTTCGGGAAATTCAGTCCACTGTACTTAAGTACATTGGTACTTAAGAATCTTAAGATTGCTACTCTGGTTCATGAAATAAAAGCCATTTGGCTAGAAAAATGTCTTAAGAAAATTAACAGGAATGTTCTTGCTTGGGCTGGCTCTTGATTTCATAGTTCTTAAATAATGAGGAACTTTTGTCTTAAGGATTGCATTTACATAATTGGTTGCCATTTATCTTATTGTTAACACAGCAGTGGAATCCAACATTCTTTCAATTGTTAGAATTAAATAATCACTAGGAAATCACAGCAAAATATTTTTCTGTCTCGCATTATCAAAGGGAAATTGAACTTACTGACTTCTTCCACAGCCTTTGACAGAGAAGATAGACTATATGATTGAAATCTTATGCAACTTGTTTATTTTTTTCATTTTGGTATTTGTAATTCAGAAATTATATTTCTGCCTTTTTTCTTTTAGCTTTGTTTATATCTGCAAAAAGATCTTCATTCCTGCATTCCATAAATATTTTTACACTTGTTAAAAGAAAAATATTCCTAAAATCAAGAATGTGACATCTAAAAGAATTCACTCTTGTCAACTATTTCTGGATAGCAATCAAATGTACACTAAGTGTATCTCGTAATACAGCTGAATCATCATAAAATAGAAGGTGACTATGTTGTTGTACAAGCAGTTTTTTCTCACTTGAAAGGATGGCCATATTAAAAAGTTGAGGGCAGCAATTCTTACCTGAATGTACTTTATCAAGGAGTGGTGTTAGGTTCTATGCTCAACTTTCATTGTGACATTTTCTGTATTTTTGGAAATATTTCTCTTATTAAAAACCCAAACATTTTATGGAACTCTGTTGTGTTGCAAGGATGATTGGAATCAAGTGAACATTTGAATAGAAGTCAGTCAGCAGTAATACATTCTCTCTCAAGCTTTCAACCAAATTTAGGTTTCTGTGAAACAGGTAAATGGAATACTTTTTTTTTTCCCCCGTCCACAAAAGTGATGAATAACAGAGGAAGCAAGGAGGTAGTTATTTCACAAAAAAGGGGGCTTACGTATACATTCCACTTGTGGGGAAAAATATTCTCTTGCTCATAGCTTATAAATACAGGATACCTGTCAGAATAAAGGCTTAAGAGTTGAATCTCTTATAAATGTAAATGTCTCTGTTGACTGGCATCCTCTTAAAGGATACATCGTGTATCATAATGTACTGGCACGTGATAGGGTTAAAATTATAATTTCAAGGAAACCCATATGACTTGTGGCTTTGAGCCTGTTCTTAGTCTATTGCTTTGCTTTATTTAGAGAATGCAGAATATCAAAGGAATACACAAAAATAATCCTTACCTTTCTACCCCTGTGGTACACTTTTGATTTTGTTCATCAACGTAACAAGAAAAGGTAGGAGAAAGTATAATTTGATTTGAAAATAACAAATGTGTCTTCAGTGTTACAAGCTTGTCCAATTCTGTGCTTTCAAGAGAGATCTGAAAGGCCTGTTAGAAGGCAGAACTAGACCTGGGAATTGCAGAAGACTTCAGTGAGCATAATTGGGTTGCTTAGGAATAAATTAATTTGGCTCTGTAAGTATGACATAGTGTACTTTGAATATTCAAAACAAGGCAAAGGAAATTTTAAGTAAAGCTTTTTATCCCAGAATATTGGAATCAGTGAGGAAGGGAATAATTTGATTTCAAATCTTTATTATTGGTGACGACGGATGAGCATGAAAGAAACCAGCTTTGCTTTCCAACCCCAAGTTGTTCGCAGGAGAGAGATTTGCAGAAAAAACATTGGAGTTTAAGTATGCTTGAACTGGAGATCAGAGAAACAAATTAGCTTTTTAAAAATATGCGTATTCTAAAGTTATTTTTCAAAATAACATTACACGTTAAGGGGTACAGTAAATCGTGTTAAGTAACTTGAAATTCATTAGAAAGAATGTTGCTACTTTGATTTATTAAAAAAAAAGGAAAAGGCAAATAAAAGGGAGGGGAAAAAAAGGAAATTTTCCCAATGGGAAATGTTTTTAAGTGTTATATCCCCAGGAAGTATTTGGGGAAACATAATAGGTTATTATGAAAAAGTTACAATATAATCAGTGTTCAACACCTTGTAGTGCATATTATTTTTTAAATTTGCATATGGAAGGAACTCTGCATGCTGATGAACAGCAAACAGCTCTTATTGTATCTTCTTTCTCGATCCTGTTGACTGTTGGATCAGTTTAGGGTTAGTTATGAAATATTATTGCAAAATGATGGTACATGAAAATGTGAGTTGAAGGTGATACAGATATTTGTATTATCAGGCTTTTTTAACATAATTTGAAAACCATCTGAATTTTATATGAACCTGGTTGTAGCCACGAGTTTAATGACCTCTGTTCCTGTTTTATGGTCCTTTTTTTGTCTCAGATATTTTTTCTGACTGTGGCCTTAAAAATTTGCTACTCTCTTCATTGTTCAGGAAACAGCTTGAAACTAGTTTGACTTGAGATGTTTATCTCCAAGTTTTAGTATTTTAAAATGTTTTTAAAATGTTTTTAATACATAGAAAATGGAGAGGATATTTGTTTCACAAAGACATTAGTGTAAGAGTTGAAAACTGCAAGCGTTATATAGCAAGTGGGTGCATTTCTTAAAAAGGAAGATTTTTTTTTCAGCTTTTTCTAAGTAAGGGAGGGTAAAATAATTTTTTGTCACGTTCATGTATGTTAGGTAGTGCCTGCAGAAGTTTACCAGCTTGTGATGAATTAATTTCTGTTTTCTTGTTCTATAGTAAATGTTTTGTTACTTCTTTATTTAGTACTGTATTAGTTTCTTTATTTAGTTTTCTGCATTATTTAAATCCAACTTTGATCAAACTGGTCATCTTCCTTTCAGTAATTGTGGCACTACCTAACATACATGAATGTGACAAAAAATCTTCCTTTTCAAGAAATGCACCCACTTGCTATATACCATATTGCTCTAAATAAGGGCTGCAGGTGCGCAACATTCACAACCCTAAATTTGACTGCTAAATACAGGATTTTAAAATACCTGAGCAGAAGTAGTACCCAGATTTAAACACTGTGCATTAGGAACCAGTCAGCTCAGATCCAGAGGTCTACAGCTCTTAACATAAATATTGCACAACCTCCATAAAAGCCCTACTAACTGGAGCACAAATAGATAGACAGATCAATCCCACAATAAATTAATGCTCAAGTAAGCAGCCCCAAGAGTTTTAAGGCGAAAAAACGGGGGAAAAGAGATGTATAATGCTTGATACACTTCCATCTTTTTTAGGTGCAAAATCCATAGCTTTGTAATCAGGTGGTGGGCCTGGCCAAAAACCTAAAATACATCAGAAAACAGTTCAGAATCAGAACCAAGCAGAAGGGAGCTATATCTCCTCCACTTTTTTCCACCTACAATTTTTTTTCATAAACCAGCCCACTGTGCACCCTGGCCTGGGTTGCCAGATACCTCATTTCACCTCCCAGGAGGATGGGGTATTATTCTCTTGCAGCAAGACAAAATTTAAAGAGAAGAGAGGCCCAGACTGTCATCTGGGCAAGTGGACAAGGCTGGTGGGGCAAGTAAGTTGAGAATGTTCTTCTATCCCAACCATAAATGTTGCTGTGAGAAACTGGTCTGGACATTGGTTTCAGGTATTTTAGGAAGAGCTTACAATTAAAAACAGGGGCACTCTTTAAATAAATGGTTCCCTGGCAGCTGCATGTTTACCTGCATTTATTGAAGGAATAATTTGTTCCCTCTCAGCATCATTCATTAATCACCCTGCTGCCAGCCTGCCCTGTTAATTGTGGTCTAGACTGGCCCTGGTAACATGGAGGATGGGGTGTCAGAGATCCCAGCCCCACACCCATTCTCCTGTCCCTTTCTGTCACAGGACAGGACTGGGGCTGGCAAGCCTCATCCTGCCTGCTGGCAGTAGCTTTGCAGAAATGAGTAGCTTGGGAAAGGGGAGTGGTGGATTTTTGCAGGTAGTGCTAGGTGCCTTTGCTGTGGGAGCCCTCTGGGGTATATAGCGTGGATTTAAGGGCAATCCGGAGACATCATATGAGCATGCTGTATAAATCCCGGCAGGATACTTCACCTTTGGATTCCTTTATTGTACCTATCTTCAGAAGCAACGTAAACAGAGATGCAGAGTGATAATGGTCACAGTCACCATGGCAAATCCTACAAGAAAGCTGTATTCAAATTAGTCTTAATACATCCATGGCTTTGTGCATCAGTGTCAAACCAATAGCATTTGTTCAGAAAGGACAGGACTGTGCTACAGGCTGCAGAATAACTGCTTGTAATGTTCATGGGCAAGGCAGAGTAACCAACAGCCTGTAGTGGATTTGGGTACTTGGATTTATTCGAGAACCAACAAGATTGGAGCTTTTGCCCTATACTAGGTTCTCACACTCACTTGCTCCCCTGGCAGCATTATGTTCAGTAGGTCTTGGCTTCCCTTCCCAGCAGGGAGGTCACTGCTGGTCTGGGAACACTGGGGACAAAGTCATGTTGGACTGCAGTGTGTTGCTGCTTGCAGTTACTGGCCTCAGGCATCGCAGACCAAGGTCCCTGAGCACCCCCTGGCAGTTGTTTCCATACATACCCCCTCATCTCCAAGACCTTTCCTCCAGCTGGGATTTTCACCACCTTCTTTCCATGCCCCTTTCTTCACTCCAAAGCCGTGTCTTCTTTCCAGGGAGCTCTTCTTTGAGGCCCCTAGCCTCTTGGTTTCTATAGTAGACTACATGGAGAAATACAACGCATGATCAGCCCCCAACTTGAGGTTCGGTCTCTGTGTTAATTGGAGGAGTTGGGACATGCAATTCTTTAGTTCTGGCTTTATCAAAATTTATAGCCAGACCATACTGGTTGCTGGTAGGAAGCAGCAGACTTCCTGAGAGTTCAAAAGTTCAGTTTTGGACATTCACACAGGTATAGACGCAGTTATCAGCTGCCTGCTAGTGTTTAAACTACTTTCCCCCC